CACAGTAACACATAATTTCTCTACAGTTTAAGGGAAACTGAGAAACTGCCTAAAAAAAAAAAAAAGAATTAGATGATAATGTTTGAAGAACATAAAGAGAATTTAAAAGCTCCGTTACACTGTTCCTGTGCTATTTCCTTTACTTTTTTTTTTTCCTGCACCACCTCTACTATAATACCTTCTAAAAAATAACTCTGATGCATATAAAGGGCACAAGAATTCCCCTGTCCTAATGGAGCATTCTCTCCTACTGACTGCTGGTCTTATTCAGACATACATGGGCTTCACTGGAAACTGAAAGCAGAGCCAAAAGATGGAAAACTGAGGCCTATTCATGCTCAACCAATAAACATGAGCATGCCTCCAACAAACGACCTCTTATGAGCATTCACATACTTCTGCACATATAGAAGCAGAGGAGAAAAAAAGAAAACCAAATGGCCAGCCATTTCAGTGGAGTATAATGCAACAAGAAAAACTGTGCAGATAGCTCTCATTCTGTCTGTGAAAAAACTAATAATCAATTTAAACTTCTTACACCTGAACACACAATTCAAAAACTAGTCATCCATTTTACTCTGAACTGCAGCACAAATAAAGTATTATTTAACAGCTATCAATACAACAATAACATTGCATTTTGTTCCTGTACAAAGCGTTTCTGAAAGTAAATTCCCCACCGTAATCTCATTTTCCAGGGCAGGTGAGATGCTCAAGGCTTTAAGGCATCATCCAAAAAAATCTCGCTTAGGATTTTCCTCAGAAAACTGGGGATACATCTAGATGGCCATGAGGAAAATAGACCTCTCTTACTGAAAGAGAACAATGCCAATTCCACATGTTTTAAAGTGCACACAAAAAAGGTAAAAGTTACATAGAAAACTTAAGCATAGAAGCACATCAAAGAGAAAACAGCAAACTTACAGAATGCTATGCAGAAAAAAGAGCCATCTAAAAATACCTGGCAAATGCACAATTCCAAGAGATGGACAGAACTTGAAAAGCTACCAATATACAAAACAAACAGGAAAAAAAAAAACAAAAAACAAAAACAACCACAACTTGGAAAAAGCACCAAAGTAACCAGAGAGAAAAAGACAAAAGGGAAACAAACCAACCAAACTAAAAATCACCCCTGGGAATCCAAACTAACAAAAGAACTTAAAACACAAAAGTTACAAAATCACTCCTGTACCTCTGTACCACTCCAAAACAAGAAAAACACACTCCCCCTAAAAAATCCCCAGCTAACAAAAGCTGCATATATATTGTAGCAGAAATGCTAAATCATAGCTTGAAGCAGTGATTGAGCACCTGGTGGGAAGGCAGGGCCAATCCAGGGGAGCTCAGGTGCAAGCCATGCAGCTGATTGACCAGAAGGGATGGAGCCAGAATTCACCCCCCTCGCAGATCTCATTTAAGGGCTGGCAGTGGATGCAAGAATATTTTGTTGGCAATTCTTTCATACTTGAGGTACTCTAAGGGTGAGCAACTTTTTTTTTCCTTTGTTGCTGCTGCTGCTTTGTTTGGGCTTATCCTCACTTTCCTTAGCCCACAACTTTGCTACTATATTGTTATCGTTGTGCTTTCCATTGTGTCATAGTGTTAAGTAAATATATCAGTAATGATGTCAAATAAGCTTAATAGTTCAGACTAACATACTAATTAGTATCTGTTAGAAAATGCACTTTCCTAGCTCTCACTATTTGAGAGGTCTTATGTTACTTATGGAGCCATGCTAAAAAGCTAGTGTAACAGGGACTTCATTTTAGAAGTCATCTTTATGTTATAATATCTCTTTCAGAGTCATCTGTAGATCAGACTTTTTCAGTCTGATATCTGTCCAAAGCTTCCTAGAGTCAGTAAGTACAGTCATTAAGGAATGTGGTGGGACGTGGCTGCTCCTTGATCTGTGGCATGCTAAGCTGTGTGTAGTACCTTTGCTAGACACAGAGCACATCTCTTACTTTAGCTATTTCTATCCTGACCACTGGAACTACTTGAGGAGAGAAAGAAAAGAAGGTGAGAGAGTCTTACACAGAGAAAGGTAACATCCTTATGGTGTTATTTCCAGACTTTTTTCAATGGCAGGGCTGAAGTATTATGTGCTGGAGTAGCTCCTGTTAACTGCTATGTTTGTGGATTTACCTTAACATGATTGTTTCAACCAGCTATCCCTAGCTGGTATTGCCCATTTAAAACACTTATCATATAACATTATGAAATAAGAAATTATGTATGAGATACTACTTGAGCCTAATCACTCCCTAGTCTTGTGCCAGCCTCAGTTTAGTCTAAGAGAATCTATCACAGACAAAGCTTTTTTGGATGGTGCAAGAATCCTGAAACAAGTTAGAAAACAGAGGTTTAAAACCGCTGATAGAGGTTTGTTCCACACTCTCCCAAGGTTATGACTACTGGCAATAACCTTCTCCCACACCATTATTTTTAGCTTCATGGTCATACGTGGCACTGTTGCCACACACTGACTACAGATTCTGTACAACCACTGTGTAAGTGATGAAGCAGATGGCAGTGAAGGATCAGGTCTATGGCATAGCTAGAGGATAAAACTAGTCAAGTGGGTTTCTAATACAGGGTACAGGGAGTGAGAAGAAAGAAAAAGAAAAGAAAAATCCTCTGGGAGCTGCTTGCTTTAGTTCTTAATACTTTGTCCTTTCACCTAGAATGAACTTCAAATCATTAAATACTTTGCAACAGAAAGATTGAGTTTATTGCTACTCAAGTATTTTAAGGTGAATAAGCAGAGCAGAAGGAGGTGAGCCCTCACTGTTTCTTCTCTGTTTATCTCTTCCAGACAACTAAAGGAAACTTAAATCACTTTCTATGTTGACTGCTGATACCTCTGACAATGTAGTGAGCAACACCACATATAGGCATATTTGTGGAAGTAGACCTGGCACAAGCAACTACTAGAGATGTTTTCTGTTTTACTCTCAGGTGCCTTATATTCATGTGTTAACTTTTAAGAGCACTGAGCATGTTAAAAACATTTATATTACAGTTACCATGGCACAGCAGTTTTTAGAGTTCCCTCTGTGAATCTGAATGGGTTTCAGTGCACCTAATAGAAACTTTCACACTTAGATTTAGATTGGTAGTAGTCTCCATATATTCCTATCTACAATGGCCTCTGCTTTCAGTTGTTCTAAAACAAGATTAACTTTTTAATTTCTTATCAATTTGAAGGAGGGACTCGGGCCTACATTGTTTTAGAAGAACAGCTTTTTACTGGTTTGGGGTAAAGGTCACTATATTCTTAGTGTGTAATACAGTATAGGTACATGTGTTGTGTAAGTGAATTAAATGACAAATCCAGAAGGCCATTAAACATAGCTATCCCTCCTTATTGGGATTATGCAGCATTTTGTAAAGGGGGAAAAAAAAAGCTTTTTTTTTTTTTTTTGTAGTGTTTATTTGGTGGTCTTAAGAACTCTTGAAGTGGGTCCATACCCATCATACTGAAGTGATGGCCTTCAAGTTGTCACAAATGATGTTTCCCTGGAAGTCATTCTGATTTCCAGGTGTTTCTTTAGGCATACAAGAAGCAAATGAGCTGAAATTTGGGAGTATGTTTTCTTCTGGGTCTGATCATTTAGGGTTTTAAAAGCTTCTGCATTCTAGGTGTTTGTTGCTACTCATATAATGAGAATTAAGTTACCCTTCTATAAGCAATATAAAAAACAACATAAACGAGTTCTTAAGCGTCACATAACTTCTGAGGCATATTTAAAAAAAAAAAACAAAACAAAACCTGAGGAAAGCATGCAAGTACAGGTTTGACTTGAGCTGCTGAAAGCTAAGCCTGTACTTCTCATGAATACGGAGTACTTTCCAGTGCCACACCCGCACGTGGGGTTCTTCCCATTTCCTACTGCGGGAATTCCAGCCGGCTCCCGTCAGCGAAACCGGGATGCCTCCCGGCCCCGCCGCCACGGTACGTGCCAGAAGCACACGTAACGCAGCAGCGAGATGCGAAGTCCATTTTAAACGCGAAGACGTAACCGTCTGCAGACAGCATTACGTCGGAGATCCTCGCTCAGTCCGTGCCAGCCCGTGCCGCTCGCTTGGAGGCGCAGGGCCCCGGCAGGGCGAAGCGTTTCGGCCCGCGCCACCTCTTCCCCCCCGTTCTCCGTCACGCAGCGCCCACAGCTCGGCCCTGAGGAAGCCGCGGCCTCTCGGCAGCCGCAGCGTTTGAGAAGCCCCTCCCGCCCCGCTAGGAAGAAGGGCGGGAGGGCGCCGCGGCCAGCAGCTACCGCCCTTTTCATTCTTTTCCTTTCCTCGCCGCCGGACCCCGCCGAGCACCTCCTTACCGCCGGGCAGCGCTCCGCCCCGCCGCCTCCGCCTGAGGCGCGGGTTCGGCCCGGCGCCAGAACCGCCCCCTGCGGGATGCGCGGCCACGTGACCGCGCGTTCCCGCCCCGCCCCGAGCGAGCAGGCGGCGGCGGCCGTGGCGGCGTCGGCGCATGCGCGGCCGCGCGTCTCCCGTCCGGTGCGGCAGCTGCGGGCGCACCGCCGCAGCGGCGGCTTCTGAGGGAGCGCGGGGCCAAGCCGTAGGGGCAGCGCCCGGGCGGGGTTTAGCGGCCGGCGGCTGGCACTGCTCCCGGCCCGCGTCGTTCTGTCGGCGGGGCGAGGCGGGCCACGCGGCGTCTGGAAACCGCCGCCCGGCGTTTTGACACCTCGGCGCCGGGAAGGGCCGCGTCCCGGCCTGCCGCGGCTGAGGGCACGGCCGGCCGCTCCCGAGGCGCGCGGCCCCCGCCGGAGGGATTCCACCGGGCAGCGGGGGCCGAGGCCGCCAGGGCCGGCTTTCGGGCTGCGGGGGGCGGCGGCGTGAGCGCGGGGAGACAAAGGGCCGGAGGAGGAGGAGGACGGCGGGCTCCGCCACATTCCTGTGCGGAGGAAGGCGGGAGGCGGCGGCCCCGGAGCGGACAGCTGGGCTCCGGCACCGCGCCGCCTCAGCTGCTCCCGCCGTGCCGCGGCTGTGCCTCCCGGCCGCGGGGCGAGGAGGAGGAATCATGTGAGTTCGGATCGCCGAGGGTCCCGTGGGAAGATGGGGGATGCCGCGGACACCAAGGAGATGAAGAAGACTTTCATTGTTCCTGCCATCAAACCCTTCGACCATTATGATTTTTCCCGAGCGAAAATCGCCTGTAATCTCGCCTGGCTGGTGGCCAAAGCCTTCGGGACAGGTAGGCGGTGTCTCTTCTCTCCTCCTTTGATGCGTCTGCCCAGGGCTGCGGGCCCTGCCCGGGCCGGGGGCTGCGGCGCTGCTCCTCACCCCGCTGCTTTGTTACCCGTGGGCTTCATCGGGTAACGCTCGTCCGTCGTGGAGTCTTGTTGTTGCCGCTGTTTTGCGTTTTAGAGGTAATATAGTCTTATTTTAGGAGTTGAGCTCTCTAGATTGTGTTTTGTTTTGTTTTCCTCCCAGGCTCACGGTTTTCTAGAAGGCAAAACAAAGCCACCAGCAATCTGTGTTTGTCCTTGTGAGGGCTGAGTTAGGGGCTAGCAGTGGAAAGGGATGCGTGCTGTGGTTCTGACGTGTGACAGCAGCCCGTAGCCATTGGGGTGGTTAAGCAGTAAAAAGGATTGAGGAGAAAAGCGTTTAATGCCAGTTCTCGGCCTGCAGAGCGCGGCAGGCTCACCCTTCCTGTCTGCGAGCATAAATGGCAGTGATTGCCATGCCTCCGGGAGGCGTCATTTGTGCTGCTTTGACACCCCGGACCAGGGAATACCAGAGCTATTATTCGATGCTTGAAATGGTGTTGTTCATTGAGGAATATCACACTTACAGAGGTCTTCTGAGGGAGACATCTTGGAAATTTACCAAACTGTGTTTTGTTGCTTTTCTTTTACAGCTGTAGTATGTGAATGGTTCAATTTCTTTGGATTAATAACACAGATTTTCTTTAAAAGCTGGCTTCAATGTTAGCCATCAGTGTCTTTACACTTATTCTGTATGGAATAACAGGAAAATGTTTTTTCTAATGGAGCTTTCAAGCTTTTGCATTTAGGCCAGAGCACTGTTTAATGTATTTCAGCAAGGCTTAAGGTGTACCTTCGTGGTGCTTCTGGGAAATAGTGGAAAAAGTGGGGCTTGCAGAAAGCTCGTAGTTTCAAGGTGGCTAAATCTAGTGCAGTTTTACTACGTTTAGTGGCTGTTGAACAAGAATGCATATTCATCATGTAAGAAATCAAAGTATTGCTTTCGTATTAAAAATTGCCAATAAATATTGCTTGTTTTCTGTTGTAAAAACTGGATAAGGATATTATGCTCTTATATAGGGCTTTGTCAGCTCTGTAGACATAAGAGTTGAAACAGAGTCATGCAAGTTCTTAAAAATCCTTGGTTCCAGATCTTGAGCCATCATTTTCTGTTTAGCTCAGCTCTGTAGGCTCTGCTTGTGGCAAGTTGGGTGCATAGCGCTTTGGCAATTACATAACTCAGTGCTCTGAAACCCTGAAAGGCTTTTGCTGCTGGAGTTGGACAAATGCTCAGCCCGCGGCTGAAATGTCTCAGTTTATATTGGGTGAGTTTCTATTGTGTGTGTAAAGCAACTTGCAGGGTGCTTCTTGGTTAATAGTGTATGGATAGGGTGATCCAGAACACATTCCTTAGCTCTTGGTTACTGTGGTGGTTCAGACACACCAGAGAAATGTCACTAGAAGAGGTAGTAGCTCCTTCGGACCTCAAATAATGCCATAATGTGAGATAGGAAAAGGTAAACAAACACAATTGTAGCATTTCTGATCTCACTAGTCTTGAATTTGATTAGTATCTCAAATGGCTGCGAAGAAGAGTTAGTTACTAAAGCAGGGAAAGCCAGTATACAGGAATTGCATGTTTGGAATACAAATGCTTCCTTCATACTTGGAGCAAAATAGAAGAACTGACCTTCGCCTTTCCTACGAAGGAAGGAAGTTTGTCGGGATTGGGGATTTTCAGCTGCCAGTTTTAGTTCTTTAGAGTAGGTCACAACCTCAGAGGTGTCTCCTATGAGCAACTGCTACATGCATTCATACAAAGGAATTAACGGATTGTTCGTGTGCTAATGGGTGCCAGATCTTATTTCTTTTTTTAATCCTTGAGATACTGGAATTCCTTAAGAAGGTGTGAGAGGTGGAGGATTTTTTTCTCCATCCTCTCTGAAAGAAATGACTGTTATTGATTTTGATTAATGAAAATGGTAAATTGTTGTGATCTTGTAAGCCTTCAGTGTATTCATCTTGTTGTATCAAATGGGTACATCTGTTAGGTCCAGGGGATGTATTTTGTGTTCTTAAAAGTGCATGGGCAGAATTGTACACACAGCTTGACTATGTGAAGGGAATGTCCTCGAAGACAAAAATTGGAATGGGTACCATTCCTTAAGGCTTAGTAGTAACTTTGTGTTTGATGATTGCTACGCACATCCAGGAACTGGCACCAATGGAGTGTTGTTGTTATGCTCTAAGGAACTGTGAGAAGAGTCTGGCTCACAGCACAGGCAAGTCAAAGTGAGTTGTCTTACTTGTAAACTGTCTTATTAATTTAGGAGTATACTAACAGTCATCTTGAAGGCATCTTGTATGAAGAGCAGTTGGGACGAAGAGTTTTTTTGTTCTTAGTGGGTTTTTTTTGTTGTTGGTTTTTTTAAATTTAAACAATGACACTTGAGTACAGCACTTGTATATATGTATTAAGGAAGCGTGGGGTTTTGTGGCTTGGTATTTTCTTCAAGGAAATGTTAGAACAGGTCAAATAAAACGTTTTCTGACAACCAAAGGTAGGTGGCACAACTTGCAGTAACTGAGAAGGAATGTCTGACCTTACAAATATATTCTGTGAGCACTCATTTTCAGTATTAACTCTCAGTGCTGGGAGTTAACCGCTTCAATTCAGAAAAACTGTTTTCCAAAGAAATAATTCAACTGCGTTGATGGCATTATGTGATTTGACTTCCAAGTATGATGTGTTGTTCTGTATCCTCTTGTTATAAAATAACAGAAGTGGATGTCATTTTGGAGTGTGAGGTTTTTTTCTTCTCATTCTACTGAAGTCACAGAAAATTTAGCTGGAAAAGCTCTTATTTGTCCACTGTCGTAAAGAGGCTGAGCTAAACATATATCAATCCTGACAGATGTTTGTTTATCCTTTTGGTTTTTTAGTAAAGTCTGTAATTACAGAGATTTGGTGGCATGTCTGGTAGTCAATTTGATCCTTATTTATCTCTAGATATTAAAAGAGCATAAATGTTTCTTGCCACACTGTAAACACATTTCTTCCTTGTCGTATTCCTGGAGGATGTGAGGGCAGTAGGTGCCTTACTTGTGCAACACCTTTCACATAACAAAAACAGTATCTGCTCTCTGTTCTGCTGTTCAGATGAAACATGGGTTTTTTTTCAGCTTAATTTTAAGTTGGGCTTTTTTTGGGCTTTTAAATTCCTCCCTCCATCTTTTCTGTGGTCTTGTTCTGCATGAATTCTGTAATTATATCTTGATGTAATGGTCCCACTTTATGCTTAGCAGTACAGGGTATATGTGAAAAATGACTTCATCTTTCTAACCCTTAACAATCTCATTTATTCACTAGAATATGATGTTTGTCATTTTTGCAACAGCCTAGAATTGTTGACTCACTCAATCAGTGATTCATTAAAGCTCCATATCTTCTTCTCTGCAGAACTACTGCCTACTCAGTTGTTCCCATCTTGTAATTGTGTGGTTGTAGGTTCCTGCTTTGCAGCTATACTTACATAACTGTATCCTATATTCAGACCTCTTCTTTCACTTGTCAAAATAATCTCGAATTGTAATTTTGTCTACCGAAATGCTTTCAAACCCTCTGGAGCTTGCAATTGGTTCTCTGGAACCTTGGCCAGTATGACTGAAAATACTGGTTCTTGAACCTTGAACTGTACATTCTTTCCATTTGATAGAGAACCTCTGGTGGATAATTCTTAAATGTGATTTTTCATCCAGCCTTGCTGCCAGTTTTTTGTTACTAAGTTGAGACTGATCTCTGGCATTTATAATTGCGAGAATATTGTGGGAACAGTTCTAGAGTCAGGCTAAGTCTGGTGCTATTCTACTTACTACTTACACGACATATTATCCTGCCGCAGTAATGAATTTCTCTGGCTTAACATGGTTCTTTTTCACAGGACAAAAGCTACCCAACTTCAGTGCTTGCCCTAAACCTTGCTTTTTTTTTTTTTTTTTTTTTTCAGCAAAATCAAAGGAGTCCATGTGCCTTTTAACATTACATTTACCCCTTATAGGTGTCTCAAGCAATAGATCACAATTTGCATCATCTACAACTAACCATGAGCCAAGAAACTTAAAAATGGCTTTCTCCTGATGATTAATATTTTCAGAATTCAGTGCGGCTACTTACTGCTGCTTGCAGATGCTGCCAGTAGAGCCAGGAAGGGAGGAAATGAACATTGTGTATCTGACAGAAGCAAGTTGAAACTAAATACTCTCATCTGTTACGTGGAGTGGTGCAGGCCAGGACATCTCATCATCTTTCCCTAGCAGACCTAATTTATTTACATTTGCTCAACATGACAGCTAGCAAAAGCTTACACAAGAGTTTGGAGTATAAAAACAAGTGCTTGGGATTTTTGTGGGGAAAACTATGTTTTGTTTATTTGTTTTTATCATATACACCAAAAAATCCTTTCCTTCATCTTTCTAAAATATTTAGTGACAAATTGATACTCTGGACAATCCTACTAAAAAGCAGTTGATAGGACAAACCAGCTGATTTGGTCTGCTTGAAGCTTGTATCAGTCCCATCTGTCTAACGTACATAAAGCTTGGATTGACTCTTTAGAAGTAACTTCTTGTAAGTTAAATACAATCAAATGAGCTTCTGGGCTTACCGGGTTTGCCAGAGTCATTCTTAGTTGCACACTGCACACATACAAATATGGGAAGGGAAATTAGTAAGTTAACAGTTGTCAGGATACTTACTACATGATAAACATCAGGTAAGGTGGCTTGTAATCAGTGGTTCCAGTGACTCCTTGTCATTGAGCCTGGTTGTCATTAAAACTGAAGAGCCTGTCTGCAGAAGGTAACACGAGGCAGCTACGCAGATGATGAGATGAAGCTCTACCCAGTCTTTTCTGTTCCTCAGCCATCATTGCCTTTACTACTGCAGCTATCCTGTAGCTGCGTTCTCGTAATGAGTGAAAGTCATCTGCTGGGTTTATTTAGTGACTCCATGCTTAAAGGTGCTCTTGTTTTCACTTTTTATGTATCTGTACAGGTAAAGTGAATCGGGAACTGCTCAGCTTCCCTGTGTGAAGCGTTACGTAAGTTCATTTATCCAGATAGCCTAAATGGATCCACTTGCATTCCTGAAGTGAATCACTTAATGTTTGTTTTGGTGAACCCAAGCTCTGAATACATGGTTTTGATGATTGCTATCTTGGAAAATGGGGCTGGGAGTCAAAATTCCTCAAGACTTGGAAGCAAAATTTAGCAAGCTTTGCCCTTCCCACCACTCCCTTCTGTCCTCCCCTTTCTTTGTACAGTACATTATTACTGATTCAAATGGCAGTAATAAGTAAACCTTTTTGCTGCAGCATTGAAATGCCTTTCTCTCATATTAAAGAGTTGTATTGCTGTAGTAGTTTCCTATCTGCTTTCCTTTTTCTTTCACTCAGTTGGAATCATTCTTAAATTAAGACTATCTGTAGTACGGACACCAAAGTAGATTTTTCACCTCATGTCTATGTAGTTATGGCTGAGAAAAAGTTTTCTTTGTGATTGGATGTGGTGTTCAAAAAGTTCAAAAGCTCGAGTTCAAGAAGTCTTTATCTCTTATTTCTGAAATAATTTCATTGTGTAGGAAATGTAAAATATATCCTGCTGCTAGCAGTTATCAGAATGCTAAATGAATGAGATGGGATTATAACTATATTATCATCTTTTTATTTCTCATATCTTACCTACTCTGAAAATAAGTTCTGAAGACATTTATGCAAATAAAAGTTGATCCTTTTATTGCCAGGGATTACTTTAAGTTATTCTTTTGTTTATGAGGATGTGAATAGGTAGAGGCAGGTGTTGGTAAAGCAGCTGTTAAACCTTGCCCTTGCTTGGTATTTCCCACTGTGCTACTGAAGGCAGAATATGGGTCAGACTGACAATTAGTGTGACCCAGAAGAGCTTTTCTGATGTGATTTTGAGTGCTCCAAAAAAAGAACTGAGGTCTGCATGGCTTATGAAGGTACTGTGCAAGTTTTGCTTTTTTTTGCTTTGTGCTGTGTTTCTCTTTTTGTGTGTGAGATAAGAAATCTTTCTAGAAACTGAGACCTATATAAAGTATATAAAAACAAATAACAATGCTGATATAATGGTACTTACCTCTGAAATGTACATCTTAGAGAAGCATTCTGTTGCTAGAAAATGTATTTGACTAATTGTTTATTAGTGTTTATTTCCTATTTTTTTTCTGTGTTAGGATCAGACCCCTTGTTGAACGATTTGTGGAGCCGTAATCATGACAGGGAAAGTAATCCAAAAGACTTGCCTGTGGGCAAATGGCTTTTGTTTGGTTTAGTCTTTTTGCACAAGACTTCTGGACATGGATTATTCCAGTTAGTGCAGGAGAATGTCAGAAAAGGAATACCTTGCAGGACGCTCTACCCTTTGCACCTTAATGGATTGTTTTTAAATTTGATTTAAGAGTTAGAAGTAGGGATTTGAGGCTTTTTATCATCTTAAGTTATTTGTTTGCTATGTCTGAGGATGGCATTAAACTTTCTTTGCTCATCGCCAAGCTGCCTTCTTGGTGTTACGTGAAGTGCATGCTGGAAGTGCAGAACTGCTCTTGTGGCATCCAGGAACAGGAGAGAAGGATCTGTTTGCTTGAAGTGCTGTGACAGCAAATCCAAGAATCTCTCAAATTCAATTTGGTTGTAGTGGATAAATGAAGAACAGAGTTACTGAAATTCAGACTGACACAATTTTTGTAGGATGACCTCTAGATATTTTCTCCTAGGCAGAAGCTAGCCAAGTGCTGTGTAACAAAGTGGCAGACAGGTTCAACAAACCAAAAAGGAGAAATTTCATTTGAATTTAAATGGCATCGTTTTCCTCTTCCTGGTTAAAAGTCATGTTTCATTATTTATGACTTTGTTTTCAACAGCATCAGTTTGAGCCATGAATTGCCAACCTGCTTTAAATGTAGGAGCGGAGGCCTTGACAAGCCCTTGAAGGTCTGTCCAAAACAGAATAACAAACTGAAATGTCTCCCCCTTCTACTGAGGAAGCTGTGAAAATTCATATGAAGCAACATTATATAAACCACCTTTTTTTCTGACTTGTTTTCAGTCTTCAGATGCTTGACAATCATGGAGGTCCCAGTCCCTCATGTCCAAATGACAAACGAGGTGCTGGACTCCTTGCTAGTAAGTAGAGCCTGAATGACAGTAACTCACTCTGTTGCCTTACTGCTAAAGCATGCCTTTGTTCTGCAGAAAACTGTCACATCATGGAGTCCATTAAGATCTGGCATAAGTTCATCTACTGGTTTGCAGTAGGAAGTGGTTGAAGGTATTAGGCAGTACTTTGGCAGAATAAATCTGTGTTAAATCTCAAAGCTTTCTACAACTAGATTTTTCTTAATGTGTTGTTTATGGAAGTCAGTAACCTGTAGAAAATGTCCATTTCTCTGCTGAGGTTTTACATAGTCATGTGGCTCCCAAGAATGATGCATATTTTAACTGGGAAGCCCTAATGTTTTTACCTTGTTAATATGATCCTGAAGAATAAGTAAGAAAAAGCTGGATGGACACTTCTGTTTTTATTCTTAATGCAGGCATTCATCAGTCTCAAATTGTTCACAGTTACAGTCTTAGGTCATGTAACTCAAAGGTTTATATTCATCCCTCTGGAAGCCTGGAAGCCTTCTGGAAATGTTTGTGTGTTAAATAAGCCTAGACTTTCCACATTAACCTGAAGAACTTTTTCCAAAGGAGGAATCCATGCTATATTCAAAGTTACAATTGGCTAAATAGAAAAAAAAAAAAAAAGGAAAGGTAGTTTACTTTAAAGCTTAAAGTGAGTTCTTCCATTTGTTTTTTCTCTCTGAAGAGCATCTGAGGAATTGTTACATGAGCCCATTGTGTATTAAGAAATAATTACCTAGAGACATTTAAGATATTTTTCTAAAAGTATCCTGATTGTTAGATTTCCGTAATTTTCTGAGCTGGTGCGGCATTGCTCAGTGCCCTTAGTCATAATTGCTCTAAAATACAGAGTATTTTAAGGTTGGAGGATCTAAAGAGTCACTAAGTGAGGCAGGGAAATGGCAAGAGAGGATAGCAGCATGGCAAAGAAATGCTATTGCGTGCCATTGGTACATTAGGTTAGTACTTCTAGTGTATTGATGGGGGTGCTGATGTTTGTCTTTGTTTTTTTGTAATCTTATTAGACATTAGACTTGTGTTATAAAGGACAAGTTAGATTTGCTGGCAGCATATTTTGATTTGTATTCTATGATATATTAGCTTTATTTATGGTTTAAGCAAATAGTACACTATACCTCTCTTCTCCTTGACGTTACCAATTGACAAAAAGCAATGTCTAAGCAATTTTTTCTTTCTTTATGATGTTTACAGAATTACATGTTAATATTCCCCTTTATGTGTGTTCTGATGCAAACTGAGGTACCTTCCAGCTCAGAAAGGGTTGCTGTTCATGTGAGCTTCATACAGCTCATAGTGGAAGCATATGAGATGTAATAGAATATGTATGAGGAAGAAGATGATCTGTCATTATCTCGTACTGACGTGTTCTGTGGGTTTTTTCCTCTCTTCTGTTTCACCCGTGTTGGGCCATTGACTCCACCCTCTGTTTCAAATCCTGTCTGTGCAGCTGCTTAGCCAGCTCAGCTGAGGAAACAGGGATTGAGCAGAAACAGAGTTGCATCACTGTTTTCCTACACTCTTTTTTTCCACTTGGGCTCAGGGAAAGAATCACATGCGCTTTCTACCATAATAAATGCCCTTGGCTTAACTAATTAAAAAAAAAAAAAAAAAAAAAAAAAAAAAAAGAAATAGTTACAGAGACAAAGGGGAGCATCTTGCAGAGCACGTCTGGAAATACAGCATCTGAAACTGAAACCACTTCCAAGTAGTTTTCCTCATCACTGGTGACTTGATTTCATTTGATCTAATACCATTTTGAATTAATTTATAACTTATATTTGCTATAGACAGTAAGAAATATACTCCCTCTATATTGTATTGTGTAAAGTTTTTAGAAAAACTATTGCAGATAATGTTGAGCTGCCAATTTTGGAGTTTATATCCCGGTATAAACTTGATAGAATCTCGCATAGCCTTCTGTTGGTACTAAGGTTCATTTTGAAACAAAAAATTTCGAGGAAACTCAAAATGAAGAGGCATGAAGAGGCAAGTAACACTTGAGCTCAGCGTTTTGTCAGAAGGAAACCTATAGTATTTCAATCTTTTCTTTAGTTCTTTAAATTCTATTAAAACATACACTGCTGCGTGCTTAACTGCTGAATGCCATCATGCTGTGATGTATGACCCATGGCAAAGCAATAAGCAAACCTCCTTAGCATATATGAAACCCAGAAGGCTGCTGAGCAGAGATTTCTCTTTTTGTCTCTGGAATTTATCTTCACTGAAATATCATGTTCAATTTCTGTTTTATTATGGTAATAGAGACAGGTTTTGTGTTCAAGTGGATGTTGTTTTGCCTTTGTGCATCTGACCCGTACAACGTTTTGCTGAAGAGAATCAGAATCTTTACACAGGTATTTGGAGAAGACAGGAAACCTTAAATGATGCAGTAAACCACAGATGGGCCTTCTGGTGTGTGGCCTTTGCTGAGTGGACATCAGAATTTTTTTTTTCAAGTTTCTATTTATAGTTGAACTGCTACCTTTGTATGCATTTTTTCCCAGCGTTTTACATTACAATGACTGAGTAAAGGTTTCCACCTTCCCTTGAATATGTTTTTTGTGACTTAACTGTGAATCCGTATGTTTAAACAAACAAACAAATCCTAGTGCTATATGTATTTTTTCTAATACTGACGCTTTATTATTTTTGGTCTTTGTAGAAAATGTTCCAGAAGAACTGCGAGAGCCATTTTACACAGACCAGTATGACCAGGAGCACATTAAACCACCTGTAGTTAACTTGCTGCTATCTGCAGAACTCTACTGTCGTGCTGGGAGCCTTATTCTGAAAAGTGATGCTGCAAAACCACTTTTAGGTCATGATGCTGTTATACAAGCTCTGGCACAAAAAGGCCTTTATGTCACTGACCAAGAAAAATTGGTGACTGAACGAGATCTTCACAAAAAACCCATTCAGATGGTGAGTGACAAATTTTGAATGTTTATTATGTTCCTTATTGTGTACTGCCTGTAACTGCATATCTGTTTCTTTTTAACATGCATGGCTTTGTTGAAATATTTTTCTTGAATGCTGTTAATTATAAGGGGGCTTATGGTTGTTTTTGTTTCCATCTCCTTATAGCTGTGAATGTATATGTATTTTTTTTAGTGCTAACGCTCAAAAACACCTATCATTCTGCTGAGTACAAATGTTACTTCTTTTAATATGACCATGGCAGTGCTGAATGCAGTGAGTATTTCTTGTTGGAAAGTGGTTTGAACACAGATATTTCTTTTTTCATCCTTACAGAAATTTCTGGTTAAAAACTTAATAGGAAAAACAAGTTCTGATTATACAGGCAAGTGAACCTAATAACATTCAGTAGTCACCAGTTACATATTAAGTCATTGTAAAACACACAACAGCAGTATATTCTTTTGTAAAGACTTAATAATACTTTCCACACTTGCTAATTAAAGCATTGGTTCAACAGATGGATGATTCTAGTACTAATCTAGTAAAGCAATGGATTTTCCTCTTCAATTGGAGCTGAAAGAATAAAATGTAGAAATGTGGCTACATATGGCTAGCCAGTCCTTTCCTTTAGATTGCGTATAAAAGGACACTCTGATAGAGTAATGTTTGAAGTGAGATATTTAAAAATAATTAAACCTATTATTTAATATAGAAAACAGTATGAGACTACTAAGGCTGAGATGGCAACATCCGTTCAAACACAGAATTCTACTCAAGTCTGTTCATTTGAAATCACTCTTTTCAACATTGCAATAGAATTACTGTTTCTACTTCACTCACATATTTGTGGCACAATCTGGTATTTTCAGGTTAAAGTGTATTGGGCACAAGGAACAAAATGTCTAATAGAGAAAGGACTTGCGTAAGTTTTCTGTGATCCATTGGCTGAATTCAGACTTAAGCCTGTTCTTACCATCATCTTTTTTGTTTAAATCTATCCTCTGTAATTGGTTGACAACTGTTTGGAAGTCTTTTGATGCTTTTATGGTCAGTGACACGTAGCTATTTCTAAAACGAAGGTGGGTGAAAATAGGGCAATGTTTTTATCATTAGCTCAGTAGCAGTATGTGTTTATTCATTGTCAGCAGACTAACCAGCGTTTGGCAGAATATGACTAAAGATAACCTTTCAGTTCATCAATTGTTATTAGTTGGTAAGTTGCAGGGGCTTTACAGAGGTCTGAAACTAACAACTAATTGGTAGCTTGAATGATCTCTTCCATGCGGAATTGCCTAGGAGTGTTAGACCTCTTCATTTGCATATTTTTTGGCTTTTTAGAAGTGACGATAGTCAGTGTGTGATATTAAGACTGAACTCTACATCAGCTTTGTTTTTATTTTTTGATGGAAAATTCACTCCTTCTCAGAGAGTGCTTAACAGCTGAAGATACTAATATTTCAACGTTAATGTAATAAAACTAGTCTAAGCATTATTTGTTTATGTTTAAACAGTGAATCGGTTTGATTAATGAGTGCAGTTAACTTGAGACTTTGCCAGCCGCCTTTTTGATATTCCTGTCTCCCTTTAAAAAGGAGAGCTCAATGAAGAACAAATGGTGTCTCAGTGAAAGAAGCTGTGAATATCAAATAAAATGTCTGAAAGCTTCATATCACTTCAGAATATTTGCAACAGTTATCATGAGATGCTGCGTTAATGTGGTCATGAAAATAAAAGCATTCAGGAGATAAAGAAACAAAATTCCTGACTGTTCATGTTTTTATGTGACTTAATGCCATTCATTATTTCGGGATAAAGGTTACTGACTTGCAGTCCGGAGTTTATGACTCTTATTTGATCTGTTTCTAGAGCAATTGTAAGAGGCATCTCTTCTCAGAGCTGTCAGTTGTGATACATCACTGTTCTCTAGCTTAGTTTGCAAGCATTTAATTCAGTCACTTATGTTACTTGAAATCCATTTCAGTGGCAGTCTTTTATTTGCCTAGTGCTTGGGTGAATATTTGTGGCTTTCTCTTATTGTTTAGGTGCAGTCCAGCAAGCAGTTACTCAAGCATGAGTCTTGTAACAGATATCTGTAGATAACTGTTCTGTCAATTCTGCCTGAGTCACTTCTCCCCATCTTGGTGCTGACAAGTAATCCTAGAACAATAGAATGGCTTGGTTTTGGAAGGGACCTTAAAGGTAGTTGAGTTCTAACACCCTGCCACATCAGGGACACCTCTCACTAGATCAGGTTGCCCAAAGATCCATCAAACTTGGCTTTGAATGCCTCCAGGGATGGGGTATCCACAGCTTCTCTGGGCATTCTATGCCAGTGCTTCACCACCCTCACAGTAAATAATTTCTTTCCTTGTGTTTGAACTAAATCTACCCTCTCTTCTCTGATAGTCTGCTCCCAGCTTTCCTGTAGGCACTCTTCATTGTGAAGGTTTACAATTGGGTCCCCTCCTTCCTTCTCCAGGAAGGAAACCCCCAGCTCTCTCACAAGAGGAGGGCCCCAGCTCTCTGATCAGTGAATCAGATGAGTGAAGTGATGCTGTTAGGCTGGCTCACAAGCAGCTGAGCAGAGGCCATGTGACACAGAACATCAGAAAACCCAACTGACTTGGGCAGGAGGGTATCCAAGTCTAGCATTGTTGCTAGAAGAGAAATAGTGTGGGAAGTGGAGTCTCGATTTATTCTGAGCCCAAGAGTTGTGATTTGTTGTAACATAACAATGTCCCTCAGCAAGTTCCTACCAGCAGAGCTATATCTTAATTGGAATTATCAACCTTTTTCCATGCTATGCGGTTTGTAAAGCTGACAGAATGGTACACTATTTCTAGTCTTAAAATAATCCCCTTGATATCTTCTGATACCATTTCCTCAGTGTTCCACATGTCACAGTTTCTCCAAGTCTTGGATAGTAAGTTACATATTCTGTTCTAGAGCATGAAATGGTTTTTCAATTTTGTAGAAGAGAAGATTGGTATGTGTAATTACCTCATGCATTCCTCTCTTAGGCCAGATTGTGTTAAACCGTGCTCAGTCTAATTCCAAGTAATTTAATAGGAAAATGCATGGTAGTCTTTGTATTGGTTAGCTTGTGTTCCTTGTAGTAAAGGAAAAAGATGGTGTTTGTTTGAGGACGCTTAGTGTTTTCTGCAGAGATGTATTGCATTTCTAGAACTGAAAAGAGATGAGCTATCTTAGCAGAATAGGAAAGGAAGTTGAAATATGGAATGGTTTGCTCTAGCTTGCTTTACTTTTCTTGTGTGTAGCTGCAGGCAACAGACTTGAAATTCCTTGTGCTGTGTTCATGTTTGTAGCGAGGTGATGGCTGCAGTGATGAATTCTGGTTTACTTCACATGTAACCAGAGTATTTCCTAAATCAGGCACGTCAAATTTTGGTCGTCTTAATTGCCTACACAGCTATAACCTGGCCTTTTTCTGGGAGGTGCCTAATATAATGAGGACTTAAAACAAAACAAAAAAAAACCACAAAAAAACCCTATGAGGTGGATGTGTTTCGTTCTTTAAGTGTTTGGGTAAGGATGGATGCTAGTTCGCTGCTCAGTCATTGCTGACTTGACTGCATTGGCATCTAATTTGAGAAGCTGCGAGTTTTTGTGAGTATGTCTGTATATATGCACATACTTCCACGTATGTGCATGTATGTAATTTATAAATACATTCATTGGTTTCTTCCAGTGGAATAAATTTGGGAGAGGCCCTCTTAGGAAATGAGCAGACAGTAACAGGAGCAAAAGGCTTTCCTTAAAGCCCCTCCTGTGTAGAGGTAGGGAGGTCTATGTGGGCTCTGGTTTATTTCTGTTTCTTGGATTTGTTTTTCCAGTTCAATGGAAAGTCAGGTTTTATTTCAGGCTTGTTCTGATTTAAAAAATTGTAATTTAAACTGTTCCTGAAAGACTGCATCTTGAGATAACATTATATGTCATAACATTATATTCAGTGGTATGTCTATTTCTGTTCTCCACGTATTGCAAGCCCTTCAAACTTTAATTCTGTGTGTATTTTTGTTAGGTCATATTTGATAGGATCCTCCTGTTACTTTTATTCTTGGCAGGGGAGCAAAAGAACCAAGCAGCGCGTTGTAACTCCAGTTGGAAATTGATGTTGTTTTGGCTCTGCTGCATTAGACTTTGGGGACTGCAAAAATTGTGGACTAGCTTGGAACTGAGACAAGATTGAACCAAGAATCAGAGTGTTTGTGCTTCTGAAATCTCTACTTTGATAGTGGGGGAAGAAAAGAATTACCTGTGCTTAGAAACTTTCTGAAAGCTAAGCTGCAAAAACGTGAATAAAGCTATTTATTTCAGATGGCAGATTCAAATTAAATTAAAAAAAAAAAAAAAAAAAACGCACCAAAAAAAACCCAAACCAATGAGCAGTTCTTTTAAGAAGGCACTTCTGCACCCAAACTTTGACAACTGTAGAAATCAGCAACAGCTTAAGAATTCCTCTTGGTTCAGGTAGTTATGCAGTAATTTTTGTTTCCAAATGTAGCATTCACAGATCAGTGCTCAAGCCAAGATTAATTTTTATATTTCCATACTGATTTTTTTCAACACCATTTATTTCAAAAGCAAAACTGACCTAAACCTTCATAATAGATATATACACAAGGTGGGTAATTCATGCGTGAGGAAAGGAGGAAAAAATCCTTATGTCATCTTACTATTTTCAGATATAGATATTAATGTTACAAACATATATATATGCATACTCTTATAGGACAAACCTGAGGAGGCTTTATCATTATTTTGATATTTAGACGGTGGTGATCTTTGTCAGTTTTTCTCAAGTTGGAGTTGGATTTAGTGAGGAATTGAGCAACATTTTCTCTCCTCCAAATCCCTGTAATGAATTTCTGCTGCCTAGGAAAAAGAATTAAAAAAAAAAAAAAACAATGTTTTGTCTGCAGCTTGCTCTTCTGTAGGGAAACTCAAGCTGTGTAGTTACCCAAGCTGTGCACTTCTCTACT